AGTAATTCTTTTCATTTTCTTATTATTTCTCCCAAAGTGATCCTTTTTGATTTCAAATATTTTTCTCTACAGTATTCTTTTTCAGTTTCTAATATTTTTTCTATACCCAGACGAGTTGAGAACTCCCGCCGGCGAGAACAAGCCAAAAAAGTCCTGCCGGCGAGAAAAAATCAGTTGACGAAAATCAGAAAATCTCCTGCCGCGTGTACGCCGCAGGACTTTTTTGGGTTTTCCTTGCCGGCAGGAGTTCAACCCTAATTATGCTTGTCTGAGAAAAAAAAGGTTAGAGAGTATTTTTTGCAGTCTGAATACGGTAGCGATATCGAAGCGGAGAGCCTAAATAGCACACATAAGGTGGAGACACAGACACTTTTTCTCTGCGTCTCAACCTTTTTTTTTCTCAGACAAGAATATTATTGTTGTACGAAAAAATTGGAGCGAGAGAGTATTTTTTACAGTCTGAATACGGTAGGCACCTCAAGGCGACAAGCCCTTCCGGAAGGGGCTTCCAGGTTCCGGTTTTGTTTTTTTTGCTGACCATTTTTTCCACTGTTTTGCCTCCAATTTCAGGGATTCTTCTTTTGCTTCATTCTGCGTGTTCAGCCTTTTCAGGCTTTCAACTTCTGATCTACTAGATCTTGCCACCAATTCCATCTCTCAAATCTGTTTCTTCATCAGATTCTTTTCATGGACTAGCACCTCCATTTTCTGTTTCCTCCCTTCATCTCTCTCCTTATATTTATGCATCTCATCCTGTGATCCTTTCAATTCCTTTTTTCTTTTCTTCTTTTCGTGCAACATCTGAAATTTTCAAGGTAATGAATATATAATCTAACTAATTTATAACCTGAGTTTTCACCTTCTCCAACTCTTTCTTCAGTTTCAGCTTTTTTTTCCTCACCATCTCATGCATCAGATCCTTGAAGAACGTAGTTGTTGACTCAGCACCTAATTAATTACATGAATATTAAAATGTCACGTTACTGTAATTACCACTCAGACATTTCAAATGTGCAAATTCTTTTTTTATTCTTAAGTATCTAGATTGTCACCTATTCAATCTTCCATACGAGCACAATATTCGCGGTTTTTATTCTCTTTACTTTATCCTCTTCTCTCTTTCTTTCTCTTTTTAATAAAATTGCTCTTTCTTCAACTTGTTAAGCTGCATCTCCAGCTCTCTTATTCTTGTTTTGAGCTGCTCATTTTCATTCGCAATTTCTTTCTTTTCGATGTTTGCTTCTTCTATCCTTCTTTTCATCACTCCCTTCAATGTATTAATCAACAACAATGGAAAACTTATGATGGATACCAGCTCTCTCTGGGTCACGATTTTAAGTATTTTTCATGATTCTGGCGTTTTTGATAAATCAAATCACTCACAGGAGATAAGGGCTCCGATGAGACCAAGATCTGCCTCATCACAAACGTCGAGTCCGCCAACTGCTGCCACCATCTCCTACCACTCGGAATCTTCAAGGAATCGGAAAGACGATGATACAACTGTTTCCATGGAGATGCACATTGCTTCGATCATTCAGGACTTCGCAGTTGGGGACACAGTGACGTCGAAGCTCCATGCGTGATCCCTTTCGTTTCAATGCATGGAACTTGGGTCCGGACAAGCGAGCAATCGATCGAAGCTTCACATGCCTTCTAAAACAACTTGAAGGTTTAATATTGAACCACAAAAAACAAGAAAGTGAAAGCGGCATTTATCTTCCGAGCTCTACTCTTCAAAAATTACATTTTTGACCACTCTCTTTTTTTTTTTAATAGTTAAACTCTCACTTTTAAAAATCCATCTCCTTGCTATTCCAGCAAATCCTTCAAGTTCTCTTTATTCCCAAAATTAGTTTTCCGTTGTTTCGAATTCTTTGGAACTCTCCTCTTCCAATCGCCTTCCAATCTTTTCCATCCTTTCCAATCGTCATCTATTAAATTAGTTTTGTTTTTAAGGTTGCAATATTTACAGTTGATTTTCATATATTTAAAAATAAACATCTACTTTTAACTTTTAACTAATAACTACTTTTTATACTTTACGAAATTATTCAAATCACATCATATCACATCACGGATCGAATGATGGCTTCTCCACTGGCCACGACGAGGGTTTCTCTGTTGGGTGAAAAGCAAAAGAGTTAACGACATGACTCTCGGCTGGAAGCAATTCTTTGTCATAAATATGTCAATTTTTTGAAAGTCGAACAGCTTTGTCTTGCCATCTAGCCCTGCCTACCCACCGCAACAGAAAAAATTTAAACGCAATGAACTCATCTTTTCTGTAGATAGTTTTCAATTACCAACAATCAATCTTGACCATGTCCGGAAGAGGAAAGGTCTACTTGGCCGCCGTTCTTGAGTGCCTCGCTGCTGAAGTTCTCGAATTGGCTGGAAACGCTGCCCGTGACAACAAGAAGACCCGTATCGCCCCAAGACATCTACAACTCGCCGTCCGTAACGACGAAGAGCTCAACAAGCTGTTGGCTGGAGTCACCATCGCTGTTCTTCTCCCAAAGAAGACTGGAGGAGATAAGGAATAATAACTTCTTCCCACAAAACCAACCGAACCCAACGGCCCTCTTTAGGGCCACAAATTCAAAAGAAATCCACTATTTCGAATGTTACCTAAATAAATTAAAATGGTTCTTGAAATAAATTTAATCAAATTATTTTACTGAATTCGAAAGATTTACGTAAAACGGAGTCTTCTTCTTTCCGAAATCTCCAAACATTTTCAGTTGAGATTCAGGAAAATTTCGAACGAAGCCAAAACAAAAATAGGTCAATTTAATATTGAAATTTGAAAGAAATTTAGTGATAAATGTATTAATTTTCCTTTTTATTGCTTGGATTTAATCGGATTTCGGTTGTAAAACTTCAAAAAATCAGCAAGATCCTCGGAATAAAATTTCCGACAAAAACTAAATATTAACAACGCAAATAGTCAAAAACTTTATTCACAATAAATAACATCATTTCTTTTTCTCGCTCTTTGTCTTCTCTCCATCCTTCTTCTCGTCGTCCTTCTTCTCACTCGGTTTCTCCTCATTGTTGAATATTCCCTTATCAACTTCATTCAGTGTCTCATACTGTGGATCCTTGGCATCTGCCTTCACAACCTTCTCTGGCGGCTTGAATTCCTTTTTCTTTCCATCGTCATCCTTCTTATCTTCCTTGAACAAGTCCTCTCCCAGCCCATTAAGAGTCTCATATTGAGGATCTTTCACATCAGCCTTCTCAACCTTTGTTGGAGCCTTGAACTGCTTCTTTGGGTTTTTGTCTGGTCCAAATAGGTCGTTGTTGAGTCCACAAAGTGTCTGGAATAGTAGGAATTATAGAATTCATTTCAGAAGATTACTGTACCTGATAGTTGGGATCTTTTTTAGCTGCTACCGCACTTTCATCCTCTGGCTTCTTAAATGCATCCTTTCCTTTGACGTCTACCTTTTTCTTTTCTTCTTCCTTCTTCTCCGACTTCTTCGATTTCTTTCCTTCTGACTTTTTCGATTTTTCCTTATTCGACTTCTTGCTTCCATCCTTCTTTGATTTTTCCTTCTCGCTCTTTTTCGGTTTCACAGGTTCGTCGGGTTTTTTTTCTTCTTCCTTTGGTTTCTCTTCAGCAGGTGCAACAGGAGCATCAGCAACAGGTTTTGGTGGTGGTTCCTTCGTTGGAATCAATGGTTGAGGGCTTTCGGCAGAAGACGGTGGCCGAATAGAAGCTGTCGAAGTCTTTTTTGACTTTTTACAGATGAACAACGTGGTTGAGAGACATACGAGTCCAGTTAGAGACCACACATGGTTCCAATTGACCTGGAATTTTTGGTTTCTTAATTTAGTATAAGCTTTTAAAATTCCGAAAATTCCAAAAATTTCAAAAAACTTCTGAATTTCCAGAAATTCTAAAGATCCAAAAAATTCCAAAAAAATTCCGAAAATTTCAGAATTCCAAAATTCCCAAAATTTCCAATTTCAAAAAAACTTAAAGATTTTCAAAATTTTCCAAAATTCCCAAAAGTTCCAAAAATTACGAAAATTCCAAAATTTCAACAAATCCAAGAAATGTTTTAAACATGGATTCTGAAAAAGAGAACGACTTACGATTTGCCAAAAGTGTGAGGACATTTTATTTCCGAGTGAATCGGAACTCTGAAATAATTGTCAATCGATTGGATCGAGAATCTGTAAAATAACGGATTCCCATCATCAGATCTTATCGTGCTCTGGATTGGAAAAAAAGTTTACGAGAGAAAAAAAATAAAAAAAGATATTAAATTGGATAAACGTAAACCACGAAAATTAGAGCAACCAAAAAACCAGAAAAAATCCCCTTCAGACAGTCCCAACAGTTTTGAATTTTTGAAAAGTCGAGTTTTCCCTTTTCACTTTCAGACACGTGTCGTTGACGGGTGAGTTGCTTCTGGAACTTTTTTAAAATCCAAATCTAAAAAATACAAATTTTCAGATTGAAGCAAACGAAAAGTCATCCACCGACACCATGATTGTCTACGTCCTTCTGGCTATCATCGCCGCCATCGTCTATTTCTACTTGTTCCAAAATGGTGCTCCTAATGAAGTCAGGAGCTCTCCAAGGAGCACCAGAAGTACAAAATCTCAACCGAGAACGTCTTTAAAGAAGGCACCTCAAGCCGTTATCACTCAGCAACCTCCTGCTCCAGAGGTACAACCACCTGCCGAACCTTCTGCTCCTGTCCCGGTACCAGCACCTAAAATCCAACAACCGGCTCCAGCTCCAGCCCCAGTCCCTGTTCCTAAACAACTTGCTCCTGCTCCTGTCCCGATTCCAGTCCCAGAACAAGCTCCAGTTCCTGCCCCATCTCCGGCTCCAGAGCCCGTTCCACAACCCATTGAACAACCGGCTCCCGTCGATCCATTGAGTTCTCCAATCCGCCCTCCAATCGGTGGAAACTCTGTGATGCTGGCTCCCAAGGACAATTTCTCTGTTGGAATTGGTGGAAAATCTGAACGATTGGCTCCAGACGTCGGACCATCCCAAGATTCTGCTCCTGTAGCTCTAGTCCCACCTGCTCCCGAACAATCTGCTCCTGTTCCAACCCCTTCTGCTGCTCCAGTCGATTCGCTTATGCTGGCTCCAAAAACCAATGAAGCTGCTCAAGCTCCACAACAAGGTGGACCATCTTCTGCCTACTTGCCCGTTGCTTCTGCTGATGATAAATCGAAGAAGTCAAAAAAGACAAAAAAGAAGAATAAGAAGTCCAAGGATAAGAAAAGTCAGTTAATAATTCTCTCTATTTTATTCACCAGAATCTTTTTCAGAATCCGCCAACACTTCAACAAAGAAGAACAAGAAGAAGAAGAAGAAGAGCAAAGGAAAGAGCACATCGTCTGCTCCTCAATCCCCTGCTCAACCAGAAACTGGTGTACAAACTGCAAATGAAATGAAGAACGATGCTCCAGAATCGAACGTCAACACTGCCATGTCGATTCGTTCTCCTGCTCAGGATGCTCCAGAATCTGACGTCAAGACTGCTGCTGAAGCAAAGAATGATGACCCAGAAACTGGTGTGAAGACCGCAGCTGAGGATAAAAATGACGTTCCGGAAACTGGAGTTAAAACTGCTTCTGAAGCGCAGAATGACGCTCCAGAATCAGGAGTCAAGACAGCTACTGAGGAAAAGAATGACATTCCAGAATCTGGGGTAAAGACTGCTGCTGAAGACAAAAACGACGCTCCAGAATCTGGGGTCAAGACGGCTACTGAAGCAAGGAACGATGCTCCAGAATCTAGTGTTAAAACCGCTACTGAGATTCCCGGGGAGGCGAAGAGCGAGTCGGATTCAACTGAAGCCAGCGTTTCGGTAAATTTAATATCTGATTTTTTAGACGAATTTCCATTTTTCAGACTGCTGCAAGCACTGTCTCCAAGCAAAGCCAAAAGAACAGAAAGAAGAAGAGTTGGTAGTTTTTTATCATTCATGAATTCATAATTAGTTTTCAGAGCGCAGCAAGTCGAAGAACAAGAAGTCTGGAGAGAAGGAGCAACCGTCCGCATGAACTCGTTGCAATGCTGCAGATATTATGCGAACTTTTTTTTGTGTAGATGCAAATAAAATTTGATTTCAGAGAGGTTTCGGATTTTCTGAAAGTACTGATTTTACTTCATCTTCTAAACACCGGAAAATTTGTTTCAACTTTCTTGCATTCTTCCGGTCGCGACCTCAATTATAACTTTATGTCGAAACAAGGATCTTAGATATTTGTGGCCCAAAAGAGGGCCGTTGTGTTCGGTATTTAGTTGTTTGAATAACTAGAAGATAATAAAATCATCCGAATCCGTAGAGGGTTATTCCTTGGCGCTTCAAGACGTAGACTTCAGGAAGCTGCTGAATCACACCTTGTCCAACGCTTTGGTGACGCCGACATGGTAAAGGATATCCAACTGGCCAGACGTATCCGAGGATATAGATTTTAAGCTAAACTTTTTTCGTATTTTAAACTTCGATAATATAGATTTGTGTGTACTATTCCTGTTTTTTAATGCTTCCAGGAATGCCATTTCCAGCAGGTGTAACTGGATTATCCTACAATTCGAAATTCCGTAGACGAAGTTAGAAGAGGAAATGCGATTTTAGAAAGAAAAAGTTCGAAGATCACTTTTATTTCCGACTCCGTGCTCCTTAATTTTTTCTCCGAATTCGCTTACACATTTTAGGTCTATTAAAAGCTGAAGATGTTGAAATGAAATATCACAACTTTAACCTCTGAAAAAGGAAACAACAACAGAAAAAAGGTTAACAAAGAAACAAAACAGGGATCAATTAGAAATTATAGAAATACGGATGGGAATGATGCGGATGGAGCGACAAGTTCTGGCTCGAGCCTGAAGATTGGTGGCATCGGAATTGGCGATGGCTCTTGGTTTGGATCAAACTGAAAATGGTTTGCGTTGTATAACGAACAACGAATTTGAAACTCACCAGCGTATAGAGTGGTCCTGGTAGTTGTTGAATAGACAAATTCTCAGGCCAAATCGAAGCCTTGCTCTTCTGAAGCTTCAGTACAAACTCGTCGTAAACACTTTTCATTTTCAAAGCTTCTGTGAAGTGTCCAGTAGTCATGAGCAGCGGAATCAACTGGGATAGTTCATCTAAAAGCACATTATGTTCATTATAAGAATGATGTTCATTGTAAAAAAACTTACTTCCTATGTTTTCCAGCCATTTATAATTCTCAGCGAGAACATTCAGCAGAGCTGAGTCTTCATATTCTCCTCCTTCTTTCAAAGAGCTCTTCTTCTTTTCAATTTGCTTCTTTCTTCTTACAGTAGATGCCATGGACACTTTTGAAGATCCGGATCTTGAACTGATACTCGAAATGACGGAAATATCATCACGAAGGTCATCTACTTCTCCAGCAGCGAATTGTTCAACTCTCTTCAGTTTGTTCTCTCGGACAACTATCAATCGTTTCTTATACTTCTCAAACTCGGTTTGTCTTCTTTTGAGGTCCAACAAAATTTGCTCATTACGACTGACTGCTGCGATTTTTAAACTTTCTTCTTTCCCAACTTCGACTTCTCGACTGGCTTCCGTCCATTCGAATGCATCACACAGTGTTTGAACAATTTGATTACTTGAAGATCCCGCAAGTTTTAATGCTTTTGCCAACTCCTTTGGTTGCCTGGCTTCCCGGAGAGTCGTACTCATTTTGATAGCATGGATCTTCAATTTTCCAGAATCAACTGCAAGACGACGAGCAGAAGCAGCAAGACCATCCACGTCTCTCGACATTTCCCAACACTTCAAAGTCTTCTCTGTATTCCCAGAAAGTTCAAAGAACAGCGCCGCCTCTCTCCAATGGATTTTTCTCTCCAATTCGATAGCATACAACTCACAACACTCCTTATATCGTTTGTCTCCTGGATTCACAAGCGTCAACGCCTTCTGATGCAGCCATTCTCTTTGAATGATATCTTTAATATCATTCCACCACACTTCTTCTGATCCTCGATCTTCACTAGAATCCAAAACGAGCAAAGATCGAATTGCGTCGATCCATGCATCTCTCACAACATTAATTCTATATTGTCTTTCAAGTGTACATCCAATTCTATTGAGTTTGTTGAGAACAGGAAGATACTCTTTTGGATCGTAGTTTGAAGCTTCTGCAACTTGCTGAGCCAACTTGAGGTCATAAGTAGAAAGTGCACAATTGAAAAGTTCTTTGGCTGGCACGAAAAAGGATATATGGTGTAAGCTGTCACGAGTGAAGACATCTTTTCGGTTAACTGGAAAAACATATTTCAATTTTTTATTAATTAAAGATTTCAGCTTGCAGCTAACTTACCAACTTTCTCCACATGCTCCTGGACCTCTTTCAAACACTCGTTGATTTTCGATGGTTTCAATCGTAGAAGAGCCGTTAGAAGCAGTGGAAACATTTTAGTTTTCCGATCAACATCTTCGATATCACTGATAAATCGAGCTACTGACATACAAAGGGAAGATCCTTCAAACTCGAAAACTTCAGTACAACTGACTAAAAGTTGTTCCAGCAGTTGTGAATCATTGGTACTTGCCAACCATATCACCATATCATTTTCTAGCTCTTCTCCTTTGTACTTCATCGCGTATGACATATCGACACGATGCTTTTTCATCCATTTGAACGATTGGATGTACTGCTTTTTGTCGAGATATTCACGAGTCTGGGCCATCACATATCTACGTGGTTGGATTGTTTCCAGGTTTCCTCTGGCTGCTTGAAGAATCACGTTAGCTGATCCAGAATCACATGCTACTAGTTCACTTCCCGCTTCCACATCGCGAATGTCTTCTAGAGTTTTACCCGACTCCACATCGACGAATCGAAGTTTGTTATCAAAATCAATGAGCAGAATGTCATTTCCTCGAGTCATAATGGAGGCAGCGTCTTGAGAAACCTTTGATGAGTCGATGAAGATTGTGGAGTTGTCAGCGAGGATGACATGGCGATTCTGGATGAAGTGAACTTCAACAGAAGCGAATTCCTCGATTTTGAAGATCTCATCGCTCGTAGTCAAATCAAGAAACTTTCCATTATTAAAAGCAACTTCAATGTGAGAATTCTGAGGATTCACGCCCATCCACCCGATATTGTCTCCTTCCAGAAACTTCTCGAAGTTAGCACCAACACGACAGATGATTTGTTTACCGTGACTAGCGACCCAAATAATAAACGATTCGGTTGGCTCGTCATAGACAAAGCCACAAATGATTCCATCCGTAACTTCTTCGTGAAGAACCTCGTCGATAGACGCACGCTCGCTATCGAACTTGTAGTCGTCGGAATCTTGGCTGACTGAAATGTCATATATACGCATTGTCTCTTCAGGTAAACTCACAGGAAATAATTTTCCAGTCTTCAGTGATAACATGAACATGACGAGGTGACGTTGTGTAGGCTACAATATCCGATAGGCACCTGATGGAATGGTCACACATCGGTGGAGGAACGACTCGACGGTAGAGAGAATACATACGAAGCTCATCTGTGGCTACGACGACATTCTGAGAGATAGCGTCGGAAAACGAGGAAACTGGGTTGATGTGAACAGAGAAGAATTGTCCTGATCCGAGAAGAATTTCCACGTTTTGACTATCCACTGTGCTCCACTTCCAGATTACAGATGATTCGCTTTCAGGGAATCGCCAACAGAGTTTTCGAGTGAATTCGTAATTGGAGAGATGCCATAACTCCACTGAAAAACTTTCTTAATTTTCAATAAATTTCAGAGCTTTTCTTACGTCTTCTACTATTCTCGTAAACCGTTAGCATCGCTAGAATGGTTCCAGTAGAATTCCATTCGATTTTTTCTATGACTCTCTTGCTTTCATTCTGATTTGTTGGCCATTTGACGACATAACTATTGCGTGTTTCTCCATTCCTCTCGTAAAACACAATTCTATCATCTGATCCTTGTTCCAGTATTGCAGAGCATAGCAAGTTTGCGTTCGGTTTGTGAGCAAAGCAGTGGGATAGATAGATGTTTCGGATGTTCATGTTGTTCAAAATCTCACCATTTTTATCGAAAATCTGAAATTTACAATTGTTAAAAGTTTATCCTTGAAAATCAGTAAGTACCGTTAGATTTCGAATTTTGGACTGTTCGGAATAGTGGGAAACTGCCACAATCTCTCCATCCCATCTCCAATGAACTGAAGTTTGTTTTGAGACTTGTTCCACATCTTCTCGCTCCTTCTCAATCTTCTCTCCGGGTTTCAACTTCCCAGCGGATCCTCTGAACTGCGTACTTTCCGATCCCCATCCAACGTTCACAGGAACAGATTTTCTATCGCTTTCTGAGAAATTTAGAGGTCTCACGACGAACGGAACCAAGGAAGAATCAGCGAGATACAAAGTTTGATTGTCGGCCAGAGCAAGTGTTTGTTCATCACCAGTCCATTCTGCAGCAGTTACTGTAGAATTTTCAATTTCTGCCACTTCCAGTTCTATTACTGATCCATCTTCAATTACAAGAGCACGCCCATCAGCCAAAATCGCCACAATTTGATCTCCATCGGTTCGAAACTGGAATTAAAACTTTAGAAAATTACAAGTTTACTTATCTAACCGCCAATGAAATGACTTGGACTCCATTTCTTTCATTACTCCAGTTTATTGTACTGCTAACCTGTAAAAAATCAAAATACGAATTGTAAGAAATTTAAAAACCGACAACTTGGTCCTCTAGAAGAATAAGTTCATTTTTTGTCGACACAGCAATTGTTTCGAGGATAGGATGAACAGCAAACAAGTCGCAGCCTGAAACAAATGTTTCAGTTGTTTTTCACAAATAAGATTGTCTACCTGCGAGTTTTGTTTTTTCAAAAGTTTTCACCCGACCAATTTGTAGATTTTTCATTGTCAAAATCTGCAAAAACTGTATAAAAGCGGAAAAAAGTGCAAATGGCCGAGTTTTTGCCTGGCGCGGACGAGGATTGCGTCAAAACTAGTCCACAGAGCACAACTGACAACCGGCTGCGTTATTTGGCAGTTTCTGAAATCGCACTTTCAGCATTCCCGTCAAATTTTGTGCCTAGAAGAAAACTGGAAGTGTTTCTCTTCCAATTTGAAAAGCTCTACAAGTTCAATAAATTTCGAAATTTGCCTCTTTTTCTCTGCAACTCTCTTCTCCGTCTTTCCAAATAAAGTATAGTTCTGCAAACAAACAAAACCAACGAAACTGTACAAACTCTTATCGATTTCTTCAGATCCTGGAGCTTATTAAACCGGGTGGATGATAGCCTGAAATGCCACATACCGTACCCGGGTGTCTACATCCGAGCAACGGGAGAAATACCATCGACTGGTAGAGTTCGTTTCACAAGAACTTGAATTAACTAGTTGTTTAGGAATGATGGAGGTCTCATTGCATATGGATCACATAATGTTATATTCATCGTAGATGTGCTTCGATACAAAAGGATCCAGTCAATTGAACATCATCAGTCGGCCATCAATATTGTCAGATGGTCTCCAGCTCGGTCCCCGTTCGCCGATTCTTCCACATTCCAGCCAATCGTTGCATCTGCTGATATCAGTGGCCACATTTTCATTTCAAATGCAATCACCGCTGTGCAGATTAACCAGTTCTCGCATCCCAACAGCTCTGTCCTCCGTAAGCTGCATTTATAAACAAGATCCTAAATTCCTGAATTTCAGAAATGTACTGGTACCCATGGAAAGACATCTCCCGTGACTATCTTCTTGTTCTTCACTCCTCGAGTACTGTAGTCCTCTGGAATACGGTAACGGGCGAAAAAGTTTGGAGTCACACCTACACTCATGTACCTCTTTTTGATTTCACAGTTGACCCTTTCTCATTGAGAAATGTTATATGTAAGTGTATATTTTTGAGATTTTTAAATCCTTTTCTATTTTCAGTTAGTAGTTCTGGTAACAAAGTTCTAGTCTGTTCGGATATCGCTTTATCCGAGCCCGCATCTTCTGGTCATCTATTCCAAGTCACTTCAGAAGATGGCTCTACGACAACCACTAATACTAATATTTACCTTATCACATATCACAAAGCTTATCGGAATACGGTTTTCATAGCAATCAATTCTAGCGTGAGTTGTAAAAAGTCTTTAGTAAAAATAGTAGAATTTCACTTCACACAATCTGTTTCAGCTGCACCTAGTCAATCCTGAACTGATGTGTTGTCTGGCTCGTGTTCCCATAGAATCCAATATAGTCTCTTGGATGCCGTCAAGCCGTCGGGATGCTTTATTCGCTGTGCATTCAAACGGAGCAGCTACTCTGCGAGTAGCCAAATTTGAACCAACAGAAGAGAAGAAACCAAATGCAAGCTTCTCGATGGAAAAGATTTGTCAGACAGAATGTGTCAGACCCATGAACAATCAACGGATAGTGGCTGCTTCACTATGTCCAACCACCCAATCGACAGTCTCTGTACTGTATCAGAATGGAAAACTAGTGTTTTGGCAGCTGAGCAATGGACGAGTTCCTCTAATATATAGAGCTAGTTTCATAGAAGACCTTTTCGGATTTAATGTAAATCTTGATACTAAACCGATCGGAGAACTCAGCTTACATCAATTGAGCCAAATGGGAGCCTTGTCTTCTGGTGTGACTTGTGTTCGAATGAGACCAATGGATGAATTGACCAAAGTGGAAAATGATCCTTTCGGTACCGTAGATTATACAAACACATCTAATGCCCAATTTCCAGCTAACACTGCTCTCGGAACCCTCCATCTCGCAGCTGTGGGTACCAACTCTGGAACAGTTCATCTCGTCGACGTTTTCAGTTCTCAAATCTACAGGGACTTCTCAGTTCAGCCTTCTTTAGTGAAATGTCTGGAATGGGGAGGTGTTTATTCACTGGTAACCGCAGGATATAATCATTCGTTGAGTGCTTCTCAGATTGTTCGAAATGATGTTTTCATTACGGATATTCGAACAGGACTAGCTAGAAGGATTCGACCGGAGACGGATGAGAGTCCTATAACTATTATTAGGGTTTCTTATTACCAGTGAGTGATTTTCTTCGAAAATTGTATCATATTGATAATTTCCAGCTGCTATTTGGCACTTGCATTCCAAAGAGAACCTCTGGAAATATGGGATCTAAAAGGCCTTCGAATGCTTCGCAAGATGAGTCGAAGTTGTCCAATTATAATTGATATGGCTTGGTCCAACAAACATCACAGTTTCAAAACGACAGAATCCACACTTCAGAGTGTTTACAAAGAGAACCTAGTTCTTCTAGACTCTGAAAATCGTATCTACCATATTCCCCTTCGTGGACTTCATGTGCGGGATGGTAAGATGGTGAATACGCAATGGAAGAGTGCCAGTGCCCAGATCTGCGCGATGACGTGGAAAGACGATATGCTGGCTGTAGGAGACGTTGAAGGCAATTTGGTTGTGTGGGATTTGGGAAGAAGACAATCTCGTCAGGTTCGAGATGTCTCACATTCAAGGGTCCTGCGAATGACGTTCTCTCGATTAGCTGGTGATCATACTATGGCAGTTCTTCATTCCAAAGAAGTTACACTTTGGGATACAGAAGCAATGACACGAATTCAATCCATCCGAATGGACGCGTCTAAATTATGTTTGGATGCGGATCTGTGTGGACTTTCCCCACTGGTTCTCACAAATGATAACACACTGAGATTTGTTGTATCAAACTCCAAAAACCAGCCGCTTATGGACAAAGGTAAATATTCTTGCTTTAACAGTCGAATAATTTCTTTTTTTCAAACAGAGCTTCCATTTGTCTACCATGATGACGCAAATCAAGTAGTTAGGAATTGGTTGGAGGGTACTGGTAGTCGGAAGTCATCAGCTGACAGAAGCCCTGATGAGAAACAAGAAGAAAACTTTTTGGACGACGCGTTGACTTGGCTCGAAAATCAGAAGAATCCACTGATAGAGACTCTTGAAGCAGATGTGTCAAAACTTCGGCGAGAACGAATAGTTCGTCGTTTCACTGGAGATCACTTTTCAGCTGATCTAATTTCCATTGTCATTGATAGATTCGCCCGTTCAGACACCGATCATTTACCACCAAATCTACAAATGTTCTGGGACAATGCAAAGTTCAAAGAGCGAGAATCGAGAGTAATCAGTGTCGCATGTGCAGCCGAACAAGCAATGGAAAGACGATTGGTTGAGCAAGCAGTAGTTGTGGGAGGGAATGCGAAGGAACGAGTGACTGACCGATTAATTGTTTCCGCCGATTTAAGATACGCCAGCATCAAAGCAGCCTTGTTGGTATCTTCCCAAGACAACGAGAAAGCCAAGTCACTCATTAAACTGATTGCCACCAACTTGATTGCCTCTGATTTAATTGAAGACGGAGTTGAACTACTTTTCTTAGTCGGTGCAGGTGGAGACGCATGCAAATATTTACAATCACAGAAGCTGTGGACTAAAAGTATTGTATATGCAAAAGTAGGAGCTTTTGGTTTTTATTTTCCGGAAAAATGAACTGTTTTAGATGGGACTAGTGGATCCGTCAGAGGTAGAAGCGAAATGGATTGGTCATTTAGCCGATGAAGCCAAACAGATACGAGTTCTAGCTGAAGCTTCCCGTCTCAATTGGCCTGATGTGGTCGAGGCAACGTCTTCAGTGGATCCTATTCTCGCTCGTCTTATTCTGCGCACAACCACCTCTACCCCACCATTATCGTCGTGCCCAACCCCGTGACTCTAACTTTTAAATGTACATACATCTGGTGTTAACAGAGATGTAATCTAAAATCGAAAAACTGATTAATTTAAAATAAGTACGACAAAAATTGAAAGGTTGTACAAAGGTAAATGGATTTTTTTTTGTCGCTTCGTTTTTTTTTCTAGAAAGCAAGACTAATGAAAGACAGGATATTCACAAACAAATAAAGTTGGGTGTAGAGCTGACAGAAATGAGTTTATAGTCTTCAAACATTCTGATCGACAGACTAGAATCATGGTTAGTAAAGAACAGAGTAGGCATAAAAAGACGAGCGAAAACCCGCGCTAAAAAAGAAGATTATTTGAAAAAAAGATGGACATGCAGGAGAGAAGAAGAATAAGGTGAATTTAAACTGGGGAACCGTATTCGTCGTCCTCGTACTCTTCCCTTGTCACATGGTTGGTGTCTGTCGGATTCTGTTCTCCGCGAGGATCAAGCTCAGCCGCCCAACTGTAGCTCAATAGAGCCAAGTGTGTGTTTCCCATTCTTCGATGAACGCGTGCTGTAAAATGAAAGGCTTGACGGAATTCTGAAAAAAAAAAAACTAACCAAGTAAATGATAGATGAAGGCCTCGTCGGGCGAGCTTGCTTTCAATTTTTCCAGCTCCTTCAGACACTCATCATTTCGCTTTGATTCGAAAAGAAGACGAGCGCGATTGAATCGGCATGCAACGTCCAGTGGATTGAGAGTCAATGCGCGATCGATCAGGACAAGAGCAGTGTCTGTTTTTCCTCGTTGCGCTCGATTGTGGAAAGTGTGCAGAGCATTGCTCGATTCGTGGGATTAATACTGACTGCCTTTTGGATATTGGTTAGTGCAATCGTATTTTGTTCCTTCTTCAGATGGACTAGACCAAGACCATACCAAGCACGGTAGTCGCGAGGGGAGAGCAGTAGGGCAGATCTGAAAAAAATGTTTAATAAAACCATTTAAGTAAAACGAAAAGCTTACCTGAATGATCCTGATGCCTTATCAAGATCATCTTGCACGATCAATTCATGCCCTAGAAGTGTGTAGGCATATGCAAATCGTTTATCAAGTTGGATAGCTCTCTCCATACATTCAATCGCTTGTGTATGCTGTCTTTGCAATGAGAAACAATTCCCAGCAACACACCAACTTTGTGCTCTTTCCCGAGATTCTGTCGTCAGGGTCTGTGCGAGTGCAGAAAGAGCATGAGTGTCTTGTAGGTGCCACATTGATGTCGACAACAGTTCTGTTCCTTCAACCTTCCACTTTTTTCGCTCGTGCAAGTCACTGAGGATGACACGACACTCTCTGTACTCAGATTGCTCGAAACAAGCTCTTCCTAGCTGTAAACGGATCATTGATGTGTTGAGTAGAATTTCTTTATCAAGTTTCGCGAACAGAGCATCAGCTGTTTTCCAGTTATAAGTGCTGATACATTCCTCAATGAACGAAATGTGGCGGTATAAATCGAATAGCCACTCTGGAATTCGGTAATTCATTTAAGAATCGATATTTTGTTTCATACTGTATCTATCGTCGTATGAAACTTCTACTGCATCTCCTAGGTCATCGTTATTCAACGAGGAAGCCACTGAAGACATTGGAGCATTCATCTGAGACAGGCCGTCGTCTGACAACCGATCGCTTCCTGTGGATGCCACCTGAAACATCAAGAGAGTGAAAATCTTGCTCCTTACTGCTTACAGAATTGGAGGAACCCGACAAGCTGCGCGCTAAATTCGAGTTTCTAGAAACCAATGGCTGCTTTTCATTTCGCTTCCTTTGATTTGCATTTTTGGAATTCTTATTTGCTGCAGCATCAGCAATTCTGATTGAGGAGCGCACTGGGTTGGTCTAAAGGCGAAAATTTTAGTACTATGTTATGTGTGTACCACCCATTATACCCTCTGAGACGATGCGGATCCCCGGCTGCCACCTGTGTCCCTGGATCTCGTGTTGACTGCGTTCGAGTTCTCAGTGTCACTGTTCAACGCCGCACTGCAATGGTTTAAGAATATGATAGGGTTCAATAGGGAAATGTCTTACTTTGAACGGTTTCTGGAACTATGCGTTGCTCGAGTGTGCGGTCTTTCTGGTTGTGTGAATAGAGCCGCTCTGCATGCAGCAGCCGTAGAGGCAGTGGTAGCGCTTGAATCTGAGCGCCGACTCGACATCTCACTGATTCGCGAACTTTTTCGTGGTGCAACTGGACGGGTACGACCACTAGTGGTCACTGGAGTGGTTGTCTGTCGAGAAGACGTTGTGGCTGGGAGGTCTAAACGATTAATTTTGAAAACAAATAAGACGATTTTGTGACCTACATCTAAGCTCACGATCTACAGAAGGAACAGATGAGCGCGTGGTTCTTCTTGTGGAAGGTCCACGACTAGAGTTCCCAGCTTCTGGAGTTGGATTTGTACTTGGTATACGACCTCGAGTTGCAATAGATGATACAGATGGGCCAGCAGATGTGGAAGACGGTGTTGCAGACTTCATAACAGCTGACGGACTTGTAACTTCAGAACCGTTTCTGAAGATTGTGAATTGAGCGTTTTCCAGCCCAGAATGGAATTCTTACGTTTTATCGCTATGTTTATCAAATGTAGCAGAAAGATTTTCTCCTCCAAACCGTAAATATGTTATAATAGCTGTCCACAAGAAAATGTTTTCGTCTAAAGCTTTTTCACATGACTCGACGGCGAGGTCCATGTGATTTTCATCGCAGAGCAATTGAGCATGAAGGAAATTCGCATGAGCCGCTACCCGTGAATCTTCAAGAATCGCCTCCCGTATGATTCCGTTGTCATGTTCAAATAAAGCTCCTCTACATTCATCGTTTCTGAAAAGAACGCGGCTACGAGAAAACTTCTAGAAGATCAACTCACTTGCTCAAATCAAATGCAACCCTTGCAAAAAGATAATGAAGCTTCGCTCCACTCAAATCTGCTGACCGTAGAAGACCGTAACATTCTTCTTTTTTGTTGGCTCTATACAGACAGTCGGCATACAAGAAAAGTGCTTCTTCGAGATTATCTAAGAGTTTAAATAGCTTAATATACCGTAATCATACAAAAAAAAAGCGTACCTGGATCAGTTTGGGTTTCATAGTAGAGTTCTGCTAAGAAAATGGCATCGTCGAAGGCATAATATGTCATCATTTCGGTAATTTCCTGAGCAATTGTTCTCTTCTTGTCCGAAGAACATCTAACAATCATTTCCCTCAGTTGGGGCGTGACCGGTCCGGAGCCGGCTGAATTCATATTTCTGAACCAACAGGATACCTCGTACCTGAGAAATGTGTTGTTTGAAGAATGGTTTTACTTGAGAGATTGAAAAGATTAAGAGATAACAACAGCTTTAATACACTTCTAACTTTTCACTGTCCCCTTCTCTCGACGCTTTATCGATCGATATAAGCCAGATGGAAAACCTTTCGCATCGGTACACACTGTGTACGTAATGTGAATCGATTGCGGACAGAATCATGAACGCGTCAAAGAGTAGATCACTTTCAGAGAACCACAGACAAGAAAGAGAAATAAGTTGGACGGCAAACGACATAAAACATCAACTTGCAGCCGGCTACAGCTTGGCTACAGCCGCCTCTCGATTGTCGTAAAGTTTGGTGTATGGCGCCATATTGTGTATGCAGAATCGCGTACCGTATATTTCCGAAAAGCTACTTCGAATTATATTTATTTTTTCAGTTTTTTTTTCGGTAAATCTAATATTTTCTAGCTTCTCTCTACTTTTAAAACATGTCTCTGGCCGAGGAGCTTATGGCTGATTTCGATGACGACGATGATGATGATTTGGAGGACATTCCAGATCCAGCCGAAAATTTCCAGGTAAGACTTTTTGTATATTCTTGAGTTGTTACTGAAATTCGGTGAGAAAGTGGTTTTCGAAAGCGTATCAATTTTGAAAAATTTAGGAGGACATTTTGTGCCAGATAAACTAGCTGAAAACTGTTGTTGTCAAAAGTATCCCAAAATTCTTCAACTTTAACTTTTTTCAAATTTAGGGTGTGAAAAAAGAGGAGCTTGACGACGATGAAATTGAAGAAGCGTTGGAAGAAGCAATGGATACGTCGAAGTATACATCAGTTCACGATGTAGCGAAACTTGCGAGATCCGGAGAGTACCTTGCACTGGTTGCTCAGTTGGGAATCGAACTGAAGCGGCCGCAAGATGAAGTGAAAGTCACGGCTCCACTAGAAGCGGATCCACAGTATAAGCTCATCGTTAAGCTATCACATGTGAGTTTTCAATGTAAAGATTCATTCTCAAAAGATTTTCATTTCAGGTCGCAGCAGATATTGACAACGAGATAAATGTGATTCACAAATTCGTTCGTGACAAATATGAAAAACGCTTCCCGGAACTCGAAACTCTCGTCCCAAACGCTCTGAATTATCTGGCTACCGTACAGCTTCTCAAGAACGATATTAACAGTAAAGCGTTGAAGGAACAACTTGGTAGCATTTTGGATGCATCAACATGTATGGTCGTCAGTGTCACCGTCTCAACTACCCAGGGAGTGAAGCTTGAACCAGATGAGCTGAAGATTGTAATGGATGCTTGTGACTTGGCTGCACAGTTACACGTAAATCGAATTGAAATGCATCAACTCGTTGAGTGGAGAATGGCCCTGATTGCTCCAAACCTCGTTGCTCTACTAGGTGCGGCAACCACAGCTCATCTCGTTTCACAAGCAGGAGGACTATCTCCACTCGCTACGATGCCTTCCTGCAACGTTCAAGTTCTGGGAAAGACGAAGAAAAATCTAATTGGTTTCTCTAGTGTTTCAACAAATCCTCATCACGGATTCATTTATTTCCATCCATTGGTACAAGCAATGCCTCCTGATCTCAAAAACAAGGCCGCCAAAATTCTTGCGGCGAAAGTCACATTAGTAGCCAGAATTGATGCGCAGCATGAATCACCAAATGGAGAGAAAGGTGCAGATTTTCTTGCTCTCGTCAATAACAAGTTTGAAAAGATGTTGGAACCACCACCAGTGAAGGCTAACAAAGCTTTACCAAAACCTTTGGATAAGGCGAGTAAGAAAAGAGGAGGAAGACGGATGAGAAAGATGAAAGAGCGTCTTGGAATGACTGATCTTCGAAAGAGCGCCAATCGTATGAATTTTGGAGAGTTGGCCGAAGATGTTATGCAGGAGCACATGGGATTCGATATCGGTCAGGTGAAGACTGGAAACGTGACCGGAGGAAGAATAAGAACAGCAGCTGTCGATCAGAAGACCAGAGCAAGAATGTCACAAAAAATGATGCGACAGATGGAGAAACAGAAAGCGAACGGGGGTTTGACAAGTATCCGAAGCAAGATGGCAGGAACCGCATCTTCTGTTACTTTCACACCCGTCCAAGGTCTGGAAATTATCAATCCAGCTGCGCAAGAACAACAGCAAAGCTCATCGACTTCCAACTACTTCTCTTCGTCTGGCAGCTTTGTGAATATCGACCGAATGACATTGTAACTTATTTATCAAATTTGTTTTTACTTCCTCTGATCTTGATCTTCGAATAAAATAAATTTCGTGATATCAAAAAGCCTTACCAGTTGGTGGACTTCCACTCTCTCCTATCTCTTTCCCTCTCGCTAACCAACCTGACACTCCAGTAAACAACCTACCAATATCATATCTCTGCAGGCTCAATTCATTTCCGAAAAGAATTCTGACCCATATGCGAAACGGGTTCCTCGCTTTTTATCCATGTCTAATAATTGTTCTTGTTGAGTGTACAAAATCAAATCAAGACTTCGATTATGAGTTGAGCAAGAAAGCGTTGGAATTCGCCGCCGGTGCATATTCCTTGGATCCGAATCCATGTGTTTTGAAAAATAATGCATCAGTTTTATTTTCCAAAAAAGTTGAATGTGATTATATGAGAGATGAGGTATTTCTTGCTTAGCGACTACTCAGATGATTACCATTTTTTAGTGTTGGAGTGTAATCGCAGCTGATGATAAAACAATATTCGTCAGTTTTAGTGGAACAAAATCAAAAGAGCAGCTGGTAACAGAACTGATCGAAAGTATTGGTAGACCGAAGCACAAGGTAAGCACGGCTCGGATTTCAAGTGTGCCTGTTTGTCTGAGTACTCCTCCATCAAAGAACACCCATTACAGTTACACAATGCTGGATCCGTTCACTACTACTTTTATTCCGCACTCAAAACGATGTGGTCTCCTATGGAAAGGTTGCTAGAACAGCTGAGAGAAGTGATGCCCAACCACAGAATCGTGTTCACAGGACACTCGTTGGGCGGAGCAATCGCAAGTATCGCATCAACAGTATTTGTTAGAAACTTTCCGGATGCTTCGAATCGAACACTATCTATCACATTTGGACAGCCTAGAGTAGGAAATCTTGAATACGCCACGACTCACGATGGGCTTGTGGGAGCAGGAAGTTGGAGGTTGGTTCATGGAAGAGATATTGTTGCTCATATTCCATTCTGTGTGGAAAGTTACGCTCGCTCATGTGTACCATTCTACAATCATGGATCTTATCATCACGGAGTGGAGGTGTGGTTCCCAGGAAACATGACAAACCAAGACACTTTCAAAATTTGCACCGGCACTCCATTGAACGAAGACGATTCGTGCAGGTGAAAAGATAGCGTGATGATGAGATGATGATGTGTTCTTACAGCAACGCTCATAAGTACTTCGACATCAACGATCACCTGTTCTACTTTGGCCATCATGTTTCGGACTACGGTGTCAACGGGTGTGTAGACCCAACAAATGACCTATAAACTTGAATTAATTTATTAAATATAAACATGTACACATTCGAGTTGAACTCTGTTTCCTTCTCTCCCAGTTGTTGAAAAATCGGTTGGAGGAGAGAATCTCGGCCGTCGTGTGTCACACGTATTTTGTCCGGAGGACGTTCTCTGAATGAGAGAGAAAAGAGACAAAAGAAGATAAAAAAACCCCGCCGAACTCGAGTGTAAGAAGAAATGGAAAGAGATAGAGAAAGGGATGGCGGGAGACAAAAACTGAATTGTTAGTTATTTTTCATTCTCTTTTCGTTTGCTGTTTTATTATCACCGCTGTGACTTCTCTTTCCGTGTATACACACCTCGATCCCAGCACCTCGTCTCCAACTCTTTTTTTTCTATTCTGTCAACAAGTACTGTTCTTATTGATTTCTTGTATTATTAAGTATATTATCACAATGATAACGCGCATTGTCTTACGTTATTGCATTTTCTCCCTCTTTCTCTCCTGATAAGAATGCGTATCATTTCGGCTAGAAATGTTGCAGGAGAACGACACCGAGATGCCTGGGCCCGCTGGCGTACCGCAGCGCAAAATGACATACTTTGTGCCGAAGAGCGGTCAGTGTCACTCCATCATCATAAATTATTATCAGTCATTGTACGCACCGTTATGCTTTTAGACAACTCCAACGAACAAGTTCGGGTGCCAAACGTCATCGCTCTCGTCGGACTGCCAGCCCGTGGAAAAACCTACATTTCTCACAAATTGTGTCGTTACCTCAACTGGATCGGTATTAAGACCAAAGGTACCTTCCCCCAATTTAATTCGATTCGATCATGCCATTAAATCTTTCAATTTACAGCGTTCAACGTCGGGGAGTACAGAAGGAAAGCGTGTAATCTCGAAGAAGAGGGTGAGAACGAGTTCTTCTCACCGAACAATGCCAGGGGTCAGAAGATTCGAGAGTGAGCTTGGAGATTCAGTTTCCAATCAATCTTATATTCAATATTTCAGTGAAGTTGCACAGCTGGCCATTAATGATATGGGAAAATATCTAGATAACAAGGAAGGAGAAGTTGCGGTACGATTTACCATAACATTCTTTGAGGAAAACACAAGTTTACAGATTCTCGATGCAACGAATACGACAAGAGATAGACGAAAGCTTCTCATGGAATTTTGTAAGAATCTGATGCACGACCCACCCTTCCGTGTCTTCTTTGTGGAATCGGTCTGTGATGATCCGGATATCATCAACTCCAATATTACCGTAGGATTTTTCTTATTTTCCAAAATTTAATTTTTTATATTTAGGAAGTCAAGATCAACTCTCCAGACTACAAAGGAATCATGTCTCAAGAAGAGGCGAAAGAAGATTTTTTGAAACGTATTGAGAATTATCGAATGCAATACGAGCCGCTGGATGAAGATTATGACGAGGAGTTGAGCTACATCAAGGTTATCAACGCTGGAAAATCATTCTATGTGCACAATGTAAACGGTCATGTCCAGAGTCGTGTTGTTTATTTCCTTATGAACATTCATCTTTTGCCCAGAAGTATTTATTTATCTCGAGTGGGTCAATACATGATTTTTTTGATTTTTAAAAATAATTTTGATTTCCAGCATGGAGAAAGTGAGTACAATTGTATTGGTCGCCTTGGAGGGGACTCGCCACTCAGTGCCAATGGTCTTCTCTACGCTGGAAAACTACGAGAATACTTTGAAGCCGAGGATTTGGATGATTTCCGTGTCTGGTCCTCTCAGAAGATCCGTGCCGCTCAAACAGCGTCTCACTTGAAGGATCTCGCCGGCCACACCGAATTCTGGAAGTGTCTCGATGAGATTGACGCTGGGATATGCGAGGGATTGACGTACGAAGATTTCGAAGCTCGTTACCCGAAACAGTTTGCTGAAAGAGATAAGGACAAATATCACTATCGTTATCCGAGTGGAGAATCGTACGAGGATCTTGTTGCTCGTCTAGAACCAGTCATCATGGAGCTTGAGAGACAATCCAACGTGCTCGTCATTTCTCACCAAGCTGTTCTTCGCTGCATTCTTGCCTACTTCACCAACAAAAATCGCGACGATTTGCCATATCTGAAAGTTCCTCTTCATACCACTATTAAATTGACTCCAAAGGCATATTCTTGCGAAGTTGAACTATTCCCATTCCCGATTAAGGCTGCTGACACTTACAGAGAGAAACCTGATCAGAAACAATAATGTTATTAGTCTCCGAATTAGACTGTTTTATGATTTATGATGCCAATGTACATTCATGATATGTTTTCTTTTCTCTATCGGGCGTTTCGATTGCATTTTCAGTCTTTAAAAAAATTTGTCTTACAATTCTTCTTCTTATGTGTTTTCATGTATCCAATTATTGTCGAATTAAAAAAGTGACACCTGAGAATTTGAAAACTTTTGCTTTTTTTGATCTACGAAAAAGTGCGACAAAAACATAATATTTCAGAATTTCGGCTCGTTCGAGCTACTTTCGCGTTTAAGTTCAGTTTTTTGCTGAGAAATAGATTCTAGAGATGTTGGCGATCATTTTTATACCAAGAAATCAAAATTTTGTTCAGAAAATCCTACTATTATTATTGTTGTCCGAAAAAATTGGAGTTGAGACGCAGCACGGCACCCCAGCGACGCAACGCGCAAAGTAGCTGCTGACGCGCTTCACGCTAAGTTGCAAGTAACACGCCAACGATCGTTGACTGCGTCTCTCAAGAGGTTCGTACTCTCTCGCATCAATTTTTAAATTGATTTGGACATGAATCATTTTTTGCAAAAATTTCTGCCTTTTTTATCTTTTTTCGGTCTGATTTTCCTAAAAATGACATTCAGATATCTTTTTTCAGATTCCACCAATGTTTTTCGGCTTGAACAGTGGATCCTTCAGCTTCCTGCATATTTTCAAAAATCGCGTTAGAAAGGTTCGTTTTCCCTGCAATATTTTGCTTTTTCTCTTAATTTTTTTTCAGATAATTCTCGGGTATGCTTCTCCGTTCATTTTCGACGATTTTTCAATAACAATGAGTGCGGTTAGTCGCTCATGACCAGATAATACTTCGCCGCCGAATTTTTTACAGGTTTCTGGAGCAAGAAAATGAGAACTACGGAGGGATCGGAGGGCTTGATAATCTATTCTTGTTATTGTTTCTTTTTTTATTTGAAAGTTCGTCATAAAATAAAATTTTTTTGTGCCCAAACGTTTGTGTCTGCAGTTACCAAATAAGGGAAAAATATAGGCGACGACACGTTCCAAGCCCGTAAAAACAGATTTTCAGCGTAGTAGGATCAATATTGAGTAGAAAAATCCGAACAATCGTCATCGAAATTATAAATTATGCGTTTCTGAAAATAAATTCGAAAATCGGGTTTTTCGAGCACTAATAACTTTTCCTAGGAAGCACCTACATGCAACATTTTGGACTTTTTAGATGGAGAATGACCCAGGCTACAATTGCTATTGAATTGATTTCGAAAAACAAAGCTTGAACTTTTTTATAACGAGAAAATGCGATTTTCAGTGGGGGGTACGACGAATTCGAACGTTTTCAAATTCGAACAGACCTAAAATCGAACAGATTTAATGCAGAACAGTCTCTTTTTCGAACATGTATCAAAACAGAACAAGGACAGAATCGAACTGTTCCAATTCGAACTGTTACGGATTCGAACAGTGCGAAATTCGAACTGTATCGGAGTCGAACTGTCCCAAATTGGAACGCTTTTAGCCACGGAGCGCGCTTGCATTTTTCTTCAAATTCTCGATTTTTCTCCAGAAAACTTTTCAAAAATACAAATCGTTCTCAGCGCAAATTTATTAGAAACAAAAAAAACAACAAGAATAGATCAGAAAATGGGAAATATTTTGACAATTTATTAAGAAATGTTTACGAATTCACGGATTTTATGACGAATTTGCCATCGAAATGCTGTCGAGTAGCTGTATACCAGTAAGCGGAGCATTCGGTGGAAGCAGGGTTGCAATCTGACGGGCTGGCCGGCGGGCCGGGCCGGGCCGGGCCGGCCCGAGGGAAAAAAACCAGGGCCCGGCCGGCCGGCAATTAATTAATATTTGAACGTTGTTTTTTTTTCGACGATTTTTTGCGTTTATCAACCGATTTTTCTCCTTTTTTTGTCGCGAATTGCCTGATAATCCCCATTTTTCATAAAATAATTATTTTCAGAGCAAACGACAGCCTACGGCTCGCCTAGAATTTTAGAATTTTAAAATTTTAGAATTTTAGAATTTCAGAATTTTAGAATTTCAGAATTTTTGAATTTTTGAATTTTAGAGTTTTAGAATTTTAGAATTTTAGAATTTTAGAATTGTTGAATTTTAGAATTTTAAGAATTTTAGAATTTTAGAGGGATCCTCTAG